TACCATTATCCAAGAGGCGCCAGGTGCCCAACTCACCGAGAGGGTCGCGCCTCAGCAGCGCCTGTGCGTACTCCCCCATGGAGCGGTGGTGCTGGTGGTGGAACGGGTAGATGGGGCCAGCGAAAGCCCCAGCGGAGGCGTACGTCGCCGTCAACGTCGCGGCGGCGTGATGTGGCAGCGCCGGGTGGATCGGAGTGGGTTCATAAATCGGCGTCCGGTACGGCGAGATGAGACTCGTGAAGGAAGAGTTGGGTGATGCGAGGGTCGGTGTGGGGATCACCGGCGTGGAGCAGGAGGAGGATGAAGCGGCGGAGGAGGAGGAAGAGGAGGGAGAGAAGGTGGTGGAGGCAGTCCTCCCCAGAATGTCCTCGATGTAGAAGGGAGTCGGGTGCGCCGGCTGGATGGGAGTTGGTGCGTAAAGCGGGACGCTCATGGTGCCGTTTGCCGTCGCTGTACGCTGGAGCTGAGTTAACGGAGAGCTGCGTCCCTCCCTTGTCTCCCCACAGCCTTCCTCTTTAGCGACACTGTCTTACACAAAGTTTTTACATACTAACAACCAACTACTGTAACTCACACTTCACTCTGCTGGCTGCCCTGCACAAACCAAGGGGAGGTTTTCCGGGTTGAGGAGACCGTTAGAGTGTTTCAGTGTCCATCAGGCTGCGGTGGTGATCAGGCTGGTACTTGACCCAACTGTTGGGACTGTTATCTGGCTGCAGGCGGAGGAGGGAGGAGATAAGTGGACGGCCAACTTCCTGCAGGTGGCCAGCGGACATTTCTTATTGGTTCGCTCGCAGCTCCAATCGAGCCGCAGTGATCAGATGACAGGAGAGGAGAGATGATTGTATTTCAAGAGAATCAGTTCACTCCAGCAACTGAGAGACAGAAAAACATGAGATAAAGAAAATTTTAAAAAATGAAAGGAGAAAGTTCTTAAAGTGTCTCCTGTAAAGTTTGGTTGCACCGTAGATCTGTACCCACATCATTTAGCCTATATATCAACACTAATTAATACATAATGTGAGCCAGTCTCCATACTGCATCTTTCTTTTTACAATAAAACTCTTCGTGCAACTTAAATATAACGACATATCACGTTTTCGGGTGAACGTGCGTCAATTATAATCAGAGGTGGGAGAAGTATTCAGATCCTTTACTTTAGCAGCAGGACTAAAAAGCAACATTATTGCGAAATAGAATACTCCATTGGTGCATTGAACATCGTATTTAAGTGTTATCAGCAAAGTGAAGTAGGCTATAGTGAGGCAGAACACTTTCAGTATTCAGTATTTTATTTAGTATTTTATGTTTCCAATTTTTCATTTCAGTTTTCATCCGTGTCTGGTTGTTGGTCAGCAGGATTACACAAAAAGTACTGAACCGATTTGCACCACACTTGGTGGAGGGGTGGGGCATGGACCAGGGAAAGGTCCATTACATTTGTGTGTAGATCCAGTCAGAAATGGGGCTTTTTTTTTTTACATTTCTGCCAACATGTCGCCTTGGCAGAGCTATGCGCTCTATTCTAGTGCCTGACTTCAATGTTGGATCTGCAAGGTGATCATAGGTTTGTCAGTTTCTGTATCAATGCATCACTCTCATAAGATGATCATTTGTTTAATATATACAATCTTAATCTGCAGTACAAGTAACTATAGCTTTCAGATAAATGTCTTATATGGGGTGGCATTAAATAGAAAAAAGAAACCACCACCTAAAATAAAACCTATTCACTAACATGCATAAAGAACATACAGACATGCTACACACTGTAAATACACAGTAATTATACAGAAATCGTTAATTTCATCATTTGGTTTATGCTGATATCAGATTTAGGCCTTCTGATTTAACTCTCTGCTTCTGTTATTTGTCTTTTATTGATATCTCCTATTGGCAACACTGATGTATGTGTTACTCTGCAACCTTTTTAACTATGATAAATTAATTATAATGGATTATGAGATGCTGGGCCCCTGGACACAGGCAAATAAAAGCCCCACTCGCACTCAGTGTGCTGTTCTGCTTCTTTCTCCATGACACCACTCTACTTTTAAATTCTGTTATTGGTTGGAATTATTTTGTCTAAATCCTCCAAAGCTTTCCAACACAGCAAATTCCCTCAGTTACTTTCACAGATATATTACAAAACTCTACAGCACAATATACTTATTTTCTTATATTCTCATATTTTACAAACCACCAGAGGAAACCTGTGACACAGCTTCTACTGTGACAAAGCAGAGCTGTTCTGCTGCAGCTGTAAAAGGACAAGATTAAACAAAATAACTACAGTTACATTTCTGACCAGACTCTGTATCAGCATTTATTCAACATCAAAGGATCAGAATCAATAATAAATGATCAGGATAGCACCTGTATATACAGTGTGTTTTCACTGAGCTATTTGACTTTTCAATGAAAAAATACACATCTAATGAAGTCATCCTCCTTCACTCCTCTTAACATGAAATCCCACTGCTGCTGAGTGTGAGTTAAATCAAACCTTGACTCACATTAAGTATACACACATCACATTTCACGTTATCAGTGGACTTTTACTGTTGCACTGTGTTGCTCTAATTAAACTAACAAAACTAAATGAAGTATGAGTGGATGTTTCACATTTGGATTTCATTGTGATCAGTGTTCACTTTACCATCAGTTTCTGTCAGACAAGCCTTTACATTACAGAGAGGCTCTCCTTGCTCTACACTGAGTGAATGCACGTTTGAAATTCTGTCTCTTCTTCACATAATGAAATTCTGAACCCTGTATTTTTCTTTTTTTATTGGCCAATTACAGGAATTTCACATTTAACTCACTGGAAACAACCATGTGCAAGTTTCAACTGTAGAAACGTAAACTTCCCCCCAGATTCCCATTAAACAAATCCCGATGAAATGACCCCAGTGCCCTGCCTTTGTTGTCGGCCTATAGGCCCGTTAAATGGGTCTTTGACTAATCAAACAGCTTGAAGCGTTATCTGACAATGTAATACAGGCTAACTGCAATCCACATCCCTAACGATGCAGCTGAATGGCGAGTGATTAACTCATGATTTGAATGTTTGGAGTTTTCCTGTGAAATCCATCTATCAGTGCGGCTGAGGTGATATATTTATGATAATGACTATAAACGCAAATCGCTTTAATTGCTCACTGAGTGCACGTTTATCCCCTCACACACATTTCCGCGCGGTGTTAAACAATAACAGATAACTTCGTCTGTGAGGCAGTTACCGCGCGCGCAGAGGACTCTGTTGGATCCGGCTGCACGTGTCACGGTCATCAGGATATTTTATTAGCAGCTGGCTTCATTAACGATGCAGCCGCAGGTCACGCTTCAGTGTGAGGGGAGGAGAGGGGCGGGTGCCTGTTGCTTCTCGCGCGCAAACACAATCCAATGGTTCGATTTTGTGATGTGTCTTTAAAGCGCGCTCCGCTGACTGCCAACTTTCTAACGGCCGCAATTTAGATAAAGTGGACACAGAGAGCAAACAGGGATATGAACAGCCTTGAAGACATGAAAGAAATCACCAAACGGCTAATATTTGGACCGAGACAATCATTACAGCGCATTGATCCGGAGGCTTGCCGTGGCGGCAGACTCCTGTCCAACGACGATTGATAAGTTCACAGCAGAGGCGCTGCTGCTGTTCCTTGGCAGCTGGCGCCATATATCTTCCTATTAACTTCCAGAGTCAGAGACACCCCCCCCCCCCCACCCGAGCCGTAAAACAATTAAATAACGCTGGAGTCACAAGATTATATTGTACTGTCACTTTTCAATCAAGATATTAAAATGGATGACTATTGGACAAACTGTAAGTCCTACTGACTGTCAGGAAACATAGCGTATAGGAAATTCGGCTCCATGTACACGAAATCAACGGATTACGTTTCATGACCCGTTATGGAATGCCCCTTTTTTGCCAGGTATAAAAAAAAAATCACTACATTAAAATGATATCTAAACTGGGAGAGAGAGTCACAGTCATAAAGTCACAGCATCCAATTATTTTGACTTAAATCAAAATCATTACACAAATCAAAATCATGACTAGTGTCATGTAATGATAAGTTGAAAGACATTTAAACCACCATGTTCCACCCATTCAGACTCACAACACTGGAGCCTTTAAAATGTTGAAAATGTTTTGAACTGGTTTGAAATCAGATTTTTTTTTTAAACCTCTGCAGCCAATAAAGAATGCTTAGACAAGAAAGATGCAGCTGTCTTTTCACACTGATTGTTGATGAGACTGTGTGGGCTGTACAGACAGTGCTTGATTGACAGTACTCTCACTCTCCTTGTAGCTTTTGCTGTACGTGACACCATATTCATTTCAGTTCATAGTTTGGTGACATCATGTAATTCCCAGCCACTTCACCCTTCTAACTACAGGTCTCATTCTCCAGAGTCATCTTTGTGTGGCTGTGCATGGTCCTTAAGTCAGAATGAGCCAATGAATCACAGCACACATTCTGACCCGTCAGGAGAGACACAGGTCTAATGAGTAACATTAACAATGCCTCAATCTCATGAATGTCACTTAGCGAGCATGCACAAGACCAGAAGCCTGGAAATGGCTCACATACATGGAATGCACCCATTGTTAATGTTACTGATTAAACCTCTGCTTTTCCTGCTGTGGCCTGTTTGTCTACTGTGAGATACAAAGACAAAATGATGACATAAGGCACTATCTTAAGAATATGAAATTATAAATCAAGATTTTGATAAAGTATATTATTTCTTACCTAGTGTCTTTCTTTTTTTTTGACTAGCTGACTCATAATTATCAGATAGAAAATTAACATGTCAGAACCTAAATTGAAACTTTAAACTTTCAAGAGTTGTTACAAAAATACAATTTAGAGGTTTAAGCCAGAAGAATACTTTCCAAATCCAAATGATAAAATAATGATTCAACATTTTGACTTATTTCAAAAAGTAGCGGTATACAGTTTATTTTTCATGCCTCCTGAAGAGAATTGTTTTCCATACATACTGTCTACCAGCTGACCACTCTGTCTGTCTCTCCCATACTGCAGCACCATTATCACATTAAATATGGACTATAGATACCTAATTACACCACTTCACTTGGCAGGTACACCGTTAGTCCACTCAGAAACCAAAGTATGTATTTCAGTTTTTCAAGTACCAAAAAAAGAACAAGTATGAAACAAGACATTCAGTGAAACCATCAGTGAGAAATAAAATCTAAGTATTTAACAACGAAGAAATGTTATTTTCACTCCAATATTTATTTAATCTGCGAATGCAGAACAAATGAAATTAGACTTGCTGTATGTACAACAGTGCTGATGCAGCAACACTTGATGATATGACTGAAGGAAACCTAAAAAAAAAAAAAAAAAACCCACTGTATTGGAAGAACAGATTCATTTCAAGTATGATATTTTTTGGAAGAGTTTTTAGACCAGCCAGCAGGGCGTTTCCACCAATACATCACCACGTTGACTGATTCATATATCTTATCTACCCTGTTGGACCCTCTAAATGAAGATAACAGCTTAACCAAGACCATACAGCTCTTTTCCACATCAGTCAATATTATAATACGCTACCTCAATATTTCTGCTGATCTAAAAAGTTCCTCACAATTGTGGCAAACAGAAAATCTATTTTAATACAGTAATGAGACAAAAATAAAGACATACTTGAAATCTTTTCGGAATTCGAATAAACCCTCAGTACTAATTTTTTTTCCAATTTTGGTTTTATATACAGTGTCAGTCTGTTTCATGTTAGACTTTGAAGTCTCAAAGATTTAAAAATGCAGTGTGCATTGCCAAACACTCTTCCCTAACGCAACCTGACCCTTAAAGTAAGTAATATATTCTTTATTTGTGTCTATCACCCAGCTCTATAAGAGGGCTATGAGTGAATGAAGACAGAGGCTGGAGTTGGGGGTGCAAACTTAAAATACAATTATTTACAAATGGAATTAAACTAAAATTGTAGATGAGACAGAGACGAGACAGAAACAAAAATGTGGACTTGAAATCACGAATCCAGTGTAGAATAACAACACTGGACCAGTGAGTCCCAAAAAAGAGGTTTTGACAATTGTCTTAATTTGTCACAATTCATAAACACACCTTGAAATATCTGAGAGAAACAGACACATCGAGACCTGATGTTCTCTTCATTGATAAGCAGCACAAACGGACAGGAAGTCCAGCTGCTAACATTCAGGCCGGGTCCTGTTCAGAGTGTGCTCCTTAGCTGTCCGCCTCTGCTGCTGTTGTACAGTCCACACGCTGCTCTGACTCTGAGCAGTTCTGCAGAGAGCGCAAGATATCTCCCAGTGTCCACTGCTCCTCATGTAAGGTGTGCTCCTCCAGCGTGAACTGGCCCTGCTTGGTCCGGATCAGGTCCTTCACATGAGCACATGACGACAGAGCTGCAGCACAGATGCTGATTATACTTTCTCATCTGTTGGTTCAGTCTATTGACATTTCCATAAATGTGCTGAGGATGAAACTGTGACATAGAATGAATGAATCTCACCTTTTCCCAGGTCATCCACCAAGCTCCTGACATAGAATCCACCACCACACTCTATATCTGTCAGGGAGACAACTACTGTCACTGTTTTCTGAATGTGCATTTCAACACAGAAAGAATACAGACACAGCAGGAAATGACATCCAACATGCTGTGTAAGAGGTCAGTATTACACAGAGGGAGAAAGAAACACTTTGTTATGCAACTTGTGCTAACCCAGAGTGAAGAGAGGAGGTTTGAACTCCTGCAGGGTCAGGTTGTACACAGTGACCGGTCTGGCGGGCTTGGCCTCAACACTGTGACCTTGCTTCAGCAGGACAGACAGACGCTGGCCGTCCTTCTTCAGAGCAGAGTAGCTAAAATGACAAAACTCAACAGTCACACTACAATGAAGTATGATGAAGGGATTTTTATTTGAAAAGAAAGCTGCACTAAAGGACAGTGTATATAGATTCCACCCATGTGACACTGCTGCAGAAGAATCCCTTTCTCCCTCACTGTGAAAGAAAGAAACTTCAGCCTGTTTCTTTAAACTGGCAGGAAAGCTTCTTCACAGACGAGGTGACAGAAGTAAAACTAAAAGTCTAAGTCCTGCTAGCAACCTCTAGAGGATGCAAGGTTCACTGCACCCCAGTAAAAAACTGCAGCATACTGGGTCATTTATTTATTCTTTTATTACCATTAGGTTAATGAGATAAGGCTCTGCTGAAAGGTGGAATTTATTTTATTAGCTTCAGGGTCAGTTAGCTCCTGTTGTGCCTGTGATAAGACCAGCAGGGCTGCAACTTAAAATTATTTTGTATTAAGTGATTAACTGATTATGGTTTGGGCTATAAAATCTCAGTGAAGTATAAAAAAGTTCAGGGTGACGTGTTCAAATGTCTTGTTTTGTCCAAAATAATCATTAATCAATAAGAGATATTTACTGTCAGAATGTTCCCTTTAAAAAAAAAAAAAAAAGAAAAAGTTATTTCTTTTGGGCAGTTTTTGCCTTTTATTGGACAGGGAAACTGAGAGAGTGACAGGAAAGTAGGAGACGGGACTACATGCAGCAAATGGCCACATGTTGGACCCGAACCCATGATCATTGCAGCCAAGACCGAGCCCGAGCGGCACGCGCTCCACCAGGTGAGCCACCCGGCTCCCCAGAATATTCGCATTTGAGACTGTTTGCCATTCTTGCTAAAACATTGCTCTACAATTCTTCCATTATCAAAATTATAGCACATTCATTTTCTCTCAGTTGATTGATTGATGGATCAACTAATTGCTGCAGGTCTAAAGATCATTTCAGCCAATCACAACAAGCAACATCACACACGACAAAAGCTACATGACAATGTAAGAACAGCAGATGATGACCTTATTGTTTAAGTCCTGCAGCAGCTCATACATTCAGTAACACTTTATTAAATGGTTGTACACAGATTATACTGGAAATGCTGGGAATCACAGTGAGCTTGTGTTCAAATATAACACTGTTCATCATGACTAATAACAAACCTCTTTCAACAACGTGAAAAAATAGAGCCCAGGTTATGGAATCAACAGAGTCGCAAGGCTTCTTCCTCTGGACTGTGTTTATGCTAACCCTGTTTATGTGCTCATGACACTCAGCCTGTGACATTACTCACTATATTGTGTGCCAATGGGAAATTTGGTGGGAAAGTCCACGGTCAAGTCCACAGGGTCACCAAAATAAGAAGATTTGATTCCACAGAGCTGTGAATATGTATAGAAAGCTGAGAATTTGTCCTGATGATGGTGCAAGAGAAAAACTCAGTGTCCAAAGTAGAAAAGCTTGAANTCTATAAATACTATAGTCTATAAGTTGTGACTTTAGATGAAGATCTCATTAAATTTCATGACCAATTAATACAGAAAACAAGGTCATTCCAAAGGGTCCACACATTTTTTCTTGCCACTGTAGTGATTCATAGCTCTTTTTTCACTTTTTAACATTAAGTGTAAACAAACTCACCTTTGAACCAGTTAACATGGTAGTGAGCATTTTTGTGCCATTCCCAACACCAACAACTGAAAGAAACAGAGACCATGTTAGAATCTCAAGGCAACACTTCATCATCACAATATAACACCAAGTCAATTAAACTTCAGGGATATAAATCTGTCCTTTTAGGAAGCACAAGTGATTGTGAATCAATTTCACCTGCTTTGGTGGAAGTGAAAGTGGCAACAGGTGCAATGGAGAGGCCAAAGCAAGACAATAAAAGGGGAATGGTTTTGCATGTGGTGGCCACAGACAGTTGCTCTCTCCTGATCCTTCCTGACTGATTGTTCTCTAGTTTTGTGTTTTGCTAGTGTCCTTGTAACTACTGGTAGCATGAGGCGGTACCTGCAGCCCAATCAGGTTGCACAGGTAGTCCAGCTCCTCCAGGATGGCACATCCATACGTGAGGCCCCAAGAAGGTTTGCTGTGTCTCCCAGCACAGTCTCAAGAGCATGGAGAAGGAACAAGGAGACTGGCTGTTACACGAGGAGAGCTGGACAGGGCTGTAGAAGGGCATCAACCAAGCAGCAGGACCGGTACCTGCTCCTTTGTGTGAGGAGGAACAGGAGGAGCACTGCCAGAGCCCTACAACATGACCTCCAGCAGGCTACTGGTGTGCATGTTTCTGACCAAACTGTCAGAAACAGACTCCATGAGGGTGGCATGAGGGCCCGACATCCTCTAGTGGGACCTGTGCTCACAGCCCAGCACCCTGCAGCTCGACTGGCATTCGCCAGAGAACACCAGAATTGGCAGGTCTGCCACTGGCGCCCTGATCTCTTCACAGATGAGAGCAAGTTCACACTGAGCACATGTGACAGGCGTGAAAGAGTCTGGAGACGCCATGGTGATCGCTATGCTGCCTGTAACATCATCCAGCATGACCGGTTTGGCGGTGAGTCAGTGATGGTCTGGGGAAGCATATCCTTGGAGAGTCACACGGACCTCCATGTCACAGCCAGCGGTACCCTGACTGCTGTTAGGTACAGGGATGAAATCCTCAGAGCGATTGTCAGACCTTACGCTGGTGCAGTGGGCCCTGGGTTCCTCCTGGTGCAGGACAATGCCCGGCCTCATATGGCCAGAGTGTGTAGGCAGTTCCTGGATGATGAAGGCATTGATGCCATTGATTGACCCTCACGCTCCCCTGACCTTAATCCAAATGAGCACCTATGGGACGTAATGTATCTGTGCATCAGACGCTGCCAAGTACCGCCACAGACTGTCCAGGAGCTCACTGATGCCCTGATCCAGGTCAGGGAGGAGATCCCCCAGGACACCATACGCCCACAGGT